TTCTGGCCCTGGACTGCCTCCCTGCCCTACTGCAAGACTAAACTCAAGCTCTGCTACGCGAGCTTTCGTGACAAGGATTACAAAAGGGCGGAGCTAGTAGATTCATTATTGTGTCCAAAGGGCACGCCTCCTGAACAGACAGCTGCAGCAAGTGCACAGTAGCTTCGAGAAGACGACCACGCAATGACTCGGGAACCTTGCTGTCGCTGGGCGGCCGAGCTTTTCGCGCCAATGCCTTGATGTCATCCAAGGGCATGATCTCGAAGAGGCAGACCTTCTCGGATGACTCACCCACCTTCTTCAAGTAGGTCTCCAAGACGCGGGCAAGGGCCTCCTGGTGAAGCCGGCAGTTGTGCTTGGTGGCCCATTGCACGAGCTGGTTGGCTGCATCGAAGCAGTCGCTGTGCTGCGCGTACTTCTTGAGCAAGGCCACGAGAGAATCAACATCCTCCGACGAGATGTCATCCGCTGTCGTCTTCCGGAAAACACTCGCTGCCGCCGCTGAGAGTTTCTGAACAAGCATGTTCTCCATCGACTGCGCTCGGCCCTTGCGGAGCCCTTCCCTGAAACCCGGCAGATTCTCTGCCGCGAACTTCAAGTCTTGAATGCTTGGTAGCTCTGCCTTCAGTTTCTCCATGCACAGAAGGAAAGTGGGCTCGAACTTGAGGGAACTAGCACTTGTCTTCAATGCATCCTCAACCAAGTCCCGAAGATGTGCTCGGGCTTCCTTTGCAGAACCCTCTGCATCGCTCCGCTCTGGCTTCGTCAGGATGTTGCAGATCGTTCTTTCCCAAGGGCTTGTGCCCTTGTACTTCAGGAAATACTGGATGCCCTCAAATGAGCGGACTTCATGGTCTGCTTGCACCAACTCATGCACACAGCTCACAAATCGCTTGAAGCTTTGCACCGAATCGCGCACAGGCTGCAGGGAGGGAAAGCCGAGGAGTTCATCCCAGCCTGGGTTGTTCTGCAGGGCCGAGAGGAAACTCTTGAAGAAGGTCAGGAGCAGGCGCTGCGCGTCTGTATCCTTGAGCTTGCAAAAGAGATCGATCACGGTGTCGCTCGCCAAACACTCAAGAATCTCTCCAGCAAGAGCCTGACATAGTCGCTTGAGGGGCTTTGACTAGACTCTAGACTCTACACACTCTACGTTACGGTTAGGGTGGTTAGGGTTGAGGGTTTGGGGCGCGTGTTCTTGGATCAGAGCCTAGCCTGGATGTTGCTTTCCAGGTCACTGTCACTGTCACCCTTCTTCTTCTTCTCGCAATCACCACTCTGCGGCTCCTCCCCGAACAGATCCATGTCCTCCAAGTCTGTCACATCTGCGGAGACACTGGAAGCCTGCTTCATCGCTTGCTCCAGGAGAGGTGCAAAGCTAGGCGCCTGAACATCACAAAGACGGACTTGGAGCTTCCGGACAGTGCCAGATTCACTGTTGGCTGTCGAAACAGGGAAAAGCATGCGTGCTGCGATGTTCTCCATCAGCTTCGAGGCTTCCTTCCGATCTGTGGTTTTCACCGCCTCCTGCAACTGGTCTTGTATCAACTTGCCTGTGATGGCAGTCTGCAAGGAAAAGGGGGCCCCGGAGAGGTCGTCTCGCAAAACCAGGATCAGCTTCAAGAATTCCGGTTGAGAGATAGTCCGGAGAGGCTCCCCCATCAATTGCATGGCAGCCTCACAGCGTGCAATCCGGTCGTGCAGCGCATGCTGCTCTTTGACCTTGTTGTTCACCAGGGTCTTCAAACAGCTCTTCGCCTGAGTGACTTCATTACTTTCACAAAAGCCGCTAGATTATAGCCGCTGGAATGAGCAGCAAAGAACAACACACTGCAAGAGAAAATCCGGAGAACCCACTAGGTTAACAGGTCCTTTGTAGCTCTATATTCCATAATGGACACGGGCTCCTGAGCAACATGCCGTCATAATGTGCCGGCTAGACACTCCTTGAACAGCCTTTCCCAACTTCTCTCCCTGAAGGATCCGCACCACTTGAAGATTCGAGAAGCAAGTAGGGCTCTTGTTTGTTAGCTGGTGATGGCGTCGCGCAACATCTGCCATCTCTCCGTCCGACTGACCTAACTCCAAGAGGCTGTCTCCGCCAGCCACCATGTCGTCGTCGCTGGCAGGCTCCTCCGCCGGAGCCGGCTGCTTGCGCTTCTTCGGTTTGGGCTTCTTAGCATCCGCTTCCTCGTCTTCATCAAAGGCAGCGAACCCCATTCCGTGCCGAACACCTGGAGCCGCACCGTCCTCCAGGTTCTGTAGAGCTTCCAAGTCGGCCTTCTCGGCCCCCTCGGGGTTGTCTCCTTCAGCTGGCGGTGGCGGTCCATGTGGATCCTCATCTGAAAACCCTGCTTGAATCTCCTGCACCGTCAGCTTCAGCTCTGACAGCGACTTCAGCCCGCTGCGACCGCAGACCTTAAAGCCTGCGGCTCGGTTGGACACGAGCTTCTTGCCCGCGTGGTCGTACCACTGTTGGCCTTGGGCCGTGTTGAGCTGTAGCTCCGGTTCCACATACAATTTCTGCCACAGCACCTCCAGCTCATGGAATACCTGGAGCTTGCGCATCGAGACATAGTCGCCGAAGCTGATGCCGTCCAGGGATACGATATAGCCGGTGGTCATCTTGCCTTCTTCTGTCCGTGCATCCACGGGCTTGAGCCCCAGACTCTGGGGCGTTGCCCCGCACAGGCGGGTGAACTGCTCGGCGGTGGGGAAGCCGTACTCGAAGTACATGCGCTCTCCTGGCCGACAGCTGACATAAACTCAATGTCCACCAACTGCAAATATCACCGGCCAGCTCCCTTCCCCCCCTGCTCCCCCCTTCCTTAACCAAAGGTACACCAGCCCAGCCCGTAGTACGTAGTACTTAGTAGTAGTAGTAGCAGCAGTAGTAGTAGTAGTAGGAGTAGTAGTGGTAGCAGTAGCAGTAGCAGTAGCAGTAGCAGTAGCACTAGCGATA